CCCCAAAACCCCAAAACCCCAAAACCCCAAAACCCCAGAGGCTGTATTCTATATTGAGATTTAATAGGACTAGGTTTATTTAGAAGTCCCTCTAATTATCAATTCTTTCGTTTTCACAAATTTAGCAAAGGAGGGTCTTTGGCTGCAGTATTTGAGTCAGAAAGAACCAAATCATTCAATTAAGGGCCAATTTTGGTTTTTGGGTGAAACCGCATATTTGGTTTTTGAGGTTCTAAACCTATACAATCGATAAATACTTTAATCATGGTTAACATTCAAAGCTCTAGGTGTTTTACAGTCTTGATTAATGGTATCAGATTCTAAGCTACAGGCATGCATGGACTCTCCTGGTCACTTGAGTTCATGAAAGACAACAGCCTCACCTACTTGACAGCGAGTGTTTAATATTGGAGGTGTTCTTTAAAGTTCTGAAACCTGCCCGAAAGAGCATAATTCAATAATACTTAATAAGCAGAATGGGCTACCTCGGATTTGATGCTCTACTTAATGATTCTGCTGGGCTTGACTGATTATTACACACTTCAAAATATATCCTCAAGTCCCAGACTGCTAGTTTGAAGATGAGCCTGTACAAAGCTAGGATTTTAGAAATCTAGCTTCTGCCATTCACAATGGAAGACCTAAGAGCATGAATATGTTGTAATATTGGCCTTGTGCTTGCAATTGCTTTTAGAGTATCAGAGAGACCAAATCAGAGGTTCTCTGATTCAAGCAGGCAAGTCTTCGAAAGATCTTGGAATATTCCTACCGACATCATAATTAGATTTGTGAGAAAAACCAAAAGCCTCCAAATTTTCAGTCCAGATGAAGTTTAGGATTTACATGGGATTTTAGTTCCTAAACAAATTTCATAAAACAAGGAGTTAGAGCTATAAATTGATGTTCAAACCTCGCTCACAAGCACACTGGGATACATATCATGCTATAACAATGACCTTGCTTAAACTTCTCTTATGGAGGTATCAGTCGGAAGATGACTATTTAGATTTACCAATAATTTTATATACTCAGAGTCTTCATTCGATTAAAAACCAAATCTTAGTCTCCTTAGCAAAATGAATGTTTAAGCAGTATGGAGATTGCTAAAATTGATCCGGAAGTCTCTTGAACCTTGTTCATCAAAAAACTCGACATTTTGACGACTAGGTTTATGTACTGAAATTCTGGTTGACCAAAATTCGTACCCATACATTTTGGACGATATCCTCTAGTGGGAAATAGAACTCACAACGCTCAGAAAATGCTCTGGATATTGGTTTATAATCCAGAATATTTATAGAATACTCTTGGTTGAGGAATGAGGTTGAGCAAATTCTGTTAAATACATTAAGACTTTTCAAAAAATTCTTATTTATTTCCCATTGTGTTTCGAATATAACCGAGAGAATAAAACATTATAGCTGGCATAAAATTCAATTGAATTATTGGTATGCTCCACTGAGATAAGGAGGAATCTTTCCAAGTACGCACTTTTCTGATCATTTAAATTATTATCCTCAGTTTCTGGATAAACCCCACAATTTTAATTTTAGCTTGGATTTACCATTGGTTTGGTTGAGAACCCTACCCTTTTGCATTTATGACTCTTCACTGTTAGAAAGCAAGGTTCAATGATTACAGGATAACAGGAAAAAGAGTTGTTGATATTTACATTTCAGAGGTATTTGTAAATGAAGGTATTCACACTCAATTTATCTCAGTAAATCTTCTTAATTTTTTATATCAACTTTTAAATGAGATGATCAATCCAGAATTTTCACGAATCTTATGTTTATGAAATAAAATACTCTCGTATTTAGCATTAGTTCGAGTTAAAATATGAGAAAAATTTCGGTAATTAATTTCGATATCAGGATATCTAAAATTAATAACTTGCTTCTACCACTAGGTTTATCTCGAGCAAAAACTGAGTTGGCAGATAAAAAATCTTTTATATATTACCTACTCCAATTGAGTTGGTACTAAAGTTTTGAACATTCAGGGCCAGTGGTGGAGTCTATTAAAGGCTATTATCTTTCTCTTGCTTTATAATACTCAGAGAAATCATCTATAAATAGCTGAACTCAACACACAATTCGAACATCCGGCAAGCCTCTACTTATAACCAAACTTTTATTTGAAGATCCAAGAAGGATTCTTCCGCCAGTACCGTTGCAACAATAAATGTTAATCGAAAATTAATACTTATTGAAGTTTTCATACGACGAGCTTTGCATATCCATAAATAAGTTAGGAACACGATTCAAACAATTTTATTAGCTATTAATTATTACTAAGCTTTCAAAGGGCCTTGATTCTCTGGACTCCCTTCTGGTAGCCCTCTGGGTTCAATGACAGAGTTGGGTCTTCCTCCATCAGTCTGTCGAGTATTCCGCTTTCGCAGAAATGTTCGAAAATGCTGACCATTCCCTGGCACTTAAACAGCTTCTTGAGTTTGTGAACCGAGTAATTGTAGAGCACTTCATAGATAGAGTTGTAGGGCTTCTTGACGAATGGAAACCCGAAACACTTCTTCATCGGGATCTTGAGCAGGAGGCATGCGAATGTTACCTTGATTTCGTAGAACTTGGCAATGTTTCCAGTGAACACTATCTTCTTGATTTTGGTTTTCTTGTCGAAGAAATCTTGCAGACTGTGCACAGAATCTGCTTCCGAGATCCCGAGCTTGGGTCCAAAGTGACTAAGACAGTACTAAACAGTCAGAAGCAACCACTTACTTGGTCGATGTTCTGGAGACATTTCGGTCCGTCAGACTTGTGCAGGAAATAAATCATGGTGTTTCCACCAGCGAAGGCGTCTCAGTAGTAACGCTTGATGCTCCTGATGATGGTCTTGTCGACTACATCTTGTCTGGCTGAATGGGCGCCGGGCTTGAGACCCTTACTGTTGGCTTCTCTTGAGATAGTCGGAGTAGGTTCTGTCACAGGCTGTTTGGGTTTGGCTGATGGGTTAGTGCCGTGTGCAAACAAAGTAACTTCATCATCAGACTTGAACAGGTATGGGTGGTCATCTTCTTTAAAAATTTCAGGAGCTTGGACAACTTGCTCATCTGGAGTCATTTGAGTGAGATCTGAGAAGTTGATAGAAGTTTTGGGAATAGAGAAATTGTTTTTGTAGGGATCTTCAAGACGAATGTCATTTTTATTTGCTTCTACCATCTCTGTTGAGTGCAGATTTGATGCTTTGTTAGGTCAGGCTTTGGTGTTATTTACTTCCACTGAGCCAGTGTGGATTTGGGGCTTCATTCAGCCAAAAGGTATCATCAAACTTGTGAGACTCTTGCTTGTTGAACTGGAACTTCGAAAGATTGGTAGAGTCAGTATTCATAATATTTATTATACAATAACTTCCCCAATCTTTATATTTCATTTCGGGGTTTTGGGGTTTTGGGGTTTTGGGGTTTTGGGGTTTTGGGG